CGCTTGCAGGATTAAGGGGCCAGAACACTGCTCTAAACCACCCTGAATTAGGTGGGGGCACGGCTTGTGTATTTCCCAGTCTCACTCCCTCTGACACACACACAAATCACACGCACACATGTGTGAGTGTGTGTGTGTCACAGGTGACCCTACACAAACATTCTCTAGGGACTCTGGCCCTTTTGCCTTCCTTTTTTTGTGCTGGCCTCACCTGGAAAAAGGGTTCATGAAAACACAGTTCCCTCCCTCCTGGACCCCATGCTCAATCAGTTGCTCTGGGAGGGGAAGGAAGGGTAGTGAGGTCTAGTGGGTTAGAGCAGGGAGGGTTGGGAGTCAAGACTCCTGGGTTCTATCTCCAGCTCTGGGAGGAGAGTGGGGGCTAGTAGGTTAGAGCAGGGGGTGCTGAGGGCCAGGACTCCTGGGTTCTATCCCCAGCGCCTGTGTTCTCTTCCTGACTCTGGGAGGAGGGCTGAGTTTGTGACAACATGCTGCATATCCTTGGGGGACCTTCTTGAATTAAGCATCTTTGGGGTCTGTTGTGATCACGGGACCTAAAAAATGTACCCCAGTTGTAAGTTTAATTGTGAGACGTCTGGGAAAGTTTATCAGAGGTCACACTAACCTAGGATGGTTTGCTCGGCAGAGAATTGACCATGAAATATAAGTCTAGCTGTTTTTCAAGAAACGCACCATGTTAGGAACAGGTGCAAGAAAAACCAGACACAAAAATTGAATCAGTCCAGACAGCAGGGGCCCTACTCATGCAAATCACTGACTGTGGTGAGGTCATACTTAACAAACAAGTAAATGTGGGAACAAAGTTACCTATGCGAATGTGGCCTTCCGGAAATGGATTTAATTGGTGGCCAAAATAATGAGGAGAAACTGCCCCCACCTGTACTCCTTTTTGGGGGGCTGCTTAAAAAGAGACTTTGAAAAAAATAAAAGAATCATTCTCATCTCCAAGCTCATATATCCACCCCCACCTGGCTATCTCCCCTTATCTAAGCTTCCGGGACCCCGGGAGCAAACCAGATTAAGGGATTTTCGTCCCAGCCGAGTGTTAGGGTTACTAATGTAACCCTTCTGCCCATCTAAGTTGGCAGCAACAAGGGCCGGGTTCTGTATCTAGGGGTTCCGTTTCAATAATGCAATGCAAAACCGGCT